AAATCGTTTATATAAACGTTGCGTACTTCAGCTTGGTGGAAATTATTAAAATTTGAAAAACTTAAAATTTATTTAATATAAAAATGCAAAGTTAAACGATTGAAAGTATTAAAAATTTAATAATTTAGAAAAAATAAAATTTTGATTAAAAATAAGCGATAATTATTTAGAGTAAAGATGAAAAAAAAAGTGATTTGAAAAAAGAAACGAGACGAAAAAATTTAATGATTCGAAAAAATCAAAGACCAAAAAAAATATAAAATGACAAAAAAATTGTGTTATACGAAAAGAAATAATTAAAAATTATTATTTTTTTTTATTTATAAAAAAATATAAAAATTAGTTTTGTTCTCCTCGTAATCGTGAAAATTTTTTTTTGGGCGAAAAATAAAATCACAAAACAGCTAATAAAAATAGGAGAAAGTCAAAATTTGAGGAAAAATAAAATTTTATCCCTTCTCAAGTTTTGAGGACAAATGAAAATATTGCCCTCACATTTTAAATAATTGCTTATTTCCTTAAGTTTTCCCTACTCTTCAGCAATATACACATATATATATATATATATATTTATTGGTGCCATTTCAAGTTACTCTTGAGAGGGTTTTTGTCGTAAGGATTAAACAGATTTTGACTCTCGTTGAGAATAGTTCGGTTCGGTTTTGTGTCGGACAGGTCGATGGTGTTTGTGAGTGCAATTTTTCCATTTGGCCTCTCTGAAAAAAAAATAATGGAGAAATATTTTAATAATTTTGAGTGTGTCAATTATTCTCTAGACTTATCACATGATTCAACATTTGACGATTTAAATACTATTTTATTTAATGAAAATGAAATTTCATTGCCAAATCCATGTTCAAACATTGAAACAAACAATGCCAAAGTTTATCATTCACTTTTTGCCGAATTAAATGTGAGTAAAATAAATTTTTCTTTTAATTTTCAAATTACCTATTGTAATTTTCATATACACACTAGTGTATAAAAAATTGTTATTTGAAAAGAATGTTAATGTGAATTTTTTGTTTTATAATTTTTTTTTGAAAATAATTTTTAATAATTAGCAGTAGTAAATGCGATAAAAATAAATTAGGAATATAAATTTTTATTTAAAAAAGAAAAACAAATTTTTAGTATAATTGAATTTTTATCAATGTTTTAATTATGATTTATAATTAATTTTTTTTTTGAGAAATTACAAAATGATGGAAACCTTTTTTTTAAAGTTCATACTGTGACTCATCCCCTTTAAAATTTTTTATGGACATAGTTATATGTAATTCTTAAGGTGCTCAAATTTTAGAGTTTTATAATTAATTTTGAGATTCTTTTTCTATATTAAAAAAAAAATATCAGTGAGAGTTTAAAATGGAAATTTCCGATATTGATGAGAATAAGAATTTTACTTTGTCAGGTGTAAACGTGCTTTGCAATGTACATTTTCGTTAAAGTGTGTCTGTATATGTATTGTAATGTGATTGAACGTGCACTTGCGCTATTTTAAATAACAAACGCTATTATGCTTTTTATATGGTTGCCTTTTAAGCCACATGTCATTATTGCTGAATTGCACGTGACTATCAGAAAGAAATATCAAGAATATTTCTCTCTCTCTCTCTTGTGAAAAATTGTGTTTATAATAATAATAATAATTTTGAAACCTTTTATTTTTCCGAGGACAATGTGAAATTTTCGAGAAATAAACAAAAACTAAAAATAAACGAATAGGAAAAATAATCATTAATTTTAATATAATAATTATAATTTACTATCAACTGTAAATTACATATTTACTTATTTTAACAAGAGTAGAATATTCCTAGAATTGAATAATTATTTTCATTAATAGTTTCTACATATAAGAAATTTTTTTTCAATGCATTATTTTCGTAAAATAAAAATTCAAAGTCGAAGAAGAATTGATGATTTTCTTCCAAGAATTAGATAAACAATGAAATTTGCCTCGTAGAATTTCTTTACATTCTCATATATATATATATTATATGGTATGTTGCATTCTATTCATCGATTAAACGTCCGCTCTGAGTCACTCAACATTTCTAGTGGTTATTTTGCTTTCCTACAAGTTGGGAGAGTCGATGGAAAAGTTGTCGATAGGATTTCTAATTAACTTTAATTTCATATTTCCTTTTTTATACATAATCCCAAGTCGAAATCTAATTTTACTAAATTTCGAAAAAAAAAATTGAAGATTTTTACTTCAATATTTGGTATTATTATTATTAATAATTACTATTTTATTATTATATTCTTAGGTATAGTAATTAATTAATTTTTAAATTATTATTTTACTAAAACAAAAAATTTACCAAATAAACTATTTTTCAATTTAAGAAAAATTTTACCAATCGAAATTTTTGTAGGAAAAAATTCTAAATTTTAGAAAAATTCATAAAAAAATTAATGAACAAAAAAAATATTGAGAATTAATATTTTTTTGTCGAAATTTTAATTTAATGCAATTTTTTTAAGATTTGTGAATTTTTTTTTAAATTAAAAATTATGAAAATAAAATTATTAATAGGTATTAACATTTATTCACATTAAAATCAATATATGAATATAATTTTAATATGGAGAATTGTTGATATATATATATATCGAGAGAGCGAGAGAGAATAAATAATAATCAGTAGGAAGATTGTGAAACATATTGTAAGAGAGAAGGAATACGTCCTGAATTGCAATATTGTAAAATTTTTATAAAATAAGCATAATTTATGTAGATAAGAAGTGAAATTCACGATTAAGCGTCTTTCACACCATCGACCCGTGGTGTTTCTTTTTTCTTTTTTTTTTTTTCTTTTTTTTTTCATGCGTTCTCATTGAGCTCAGTGAATCTTTTACAGAGTAATTTTTCAGTTCGATGCTTCTCTCGACTCGATAATTCCATTTCCTGTGGTTTTTTACACTGTTTGAAAACCTCTATAATCTTACCCACGCAAAAAGAATCTACTTAATTAATGATAAAATGAAATTACATTATTTTAATATACGAGTCTTGAATTATACTTTCTACGTTTCATATATGCGATAAATTTATATATTCTAATTTGAGAAAAGGTTCCACTTAGCAATTAATTTTAATTCTTGTTCAATTTTCTTTGCCTTTTTTAGAATTTATATTTAAAAGAAATTTTTATTAATTTTTGATTATTAAATAATTTTTGTAATTTACATTTTCTACAACAAAACTGAAAAAAAAATTTCTACTCGTCTATTATGTAATTATCACTATTGTCGTGGAGGAAAATTAACTCATTTATGTTTCAGTTATAGTTTTAGTTTCTTTGAATTGGTTCAAATTATTTTAAAAACACGTTCAATGTTTTGTAGAACTAATTTTCCTTGTTTTTTTTTTTTCTTTACTTTTCTTTTTCATTTCTTTTTTTTCATATGTTTTTTTGTCTCTACCATTTTTTTTTCTTTTAAAAAAGAGATATGTATATGCAAAAGATATTAAAAGTAATTTTAGAACTGGATATAAAGTTACCAGGAAAAAAGTGATTTCTTCGCCAACTTTAATAATCACAATCAGAGAGTTTGGAATATTAAATGACGCAAATGTCGTGTTTTTCTTTTTTCTTTCTTTCTTTTTCTTTTTTGAATATAAAACTTATAAAGGTGTCGTATTAGGGCATCAACAGTCGTAATTTATAGCATAAGTAGATCGTCAATGCACTATTTCTGACGAGGAACTATAATTAGAGCAGGTCATGCAAGTCTGCTTATGTATATGATGAGGCGAAGAAAGATAAACTAGAGGAAAAAAATAATAAATCATTTAATTCTTTTGTTTATTCATTCATTTTTTTTTAAAATTTTTGTACTCGAAAATTGTGAATTTATAATTTGGAAAAAATTCCGAAAAATTGGTGATGAAAAAAAAAGTTGTGGTCAATTTAAATTTTCATCGTTATGATCGATTTATATATAGACAGACCAGAGAAGCTTATTTCTCGCATGTCGAAGCACATTTTAGGCCAAGTCAGTTTACTGAATTCCATTGCTTTTCTCGCATCGCGCAAGACATTTACCAAGTTTGCCGAGACGAAAATTTATCGGAACATCGAATAGCACACGTATATACCATGGAATTGTAGTTGAACAAAGAACTTTAAATCTTGATACTTAATGAAAGAGGCTTCCAGCGTAAGCTGGCTTTTCAGTTGGGAACTGAAGCTTATATTAATGTTTTACTGGCAGACAGTCTTCAGAATTTTTTTTTTTTAATGCCAAATATCCTCTTATGACTGAATTTATTATGTAATCATTAATTTAAACTATTTTTTGTTGAAAAAATATTTCCGTGTAGTTTATGATTAAAAAAATATATTTTCATGTAAATTATAAGAAATAAAATTTTATTTTTGGATTGAAAAAATATATCCGACTTGGAAAAATTAAAATTTTAAAAATTGAAAGAGAAAATATTTTCAAAATTTTTGTTCCTGAGGGATTCTTTTTCTCTCGAGGTTAGTAAATCTCGACTGAATAAATCCCTGGGAGGAGATATGAAGGAAGTTCAATCTACCTTGACGGAGATGAGCATTGCAGTGCTTAATGAAGTTACAAGATTAGCGCTTGCCGGAAAATGGTGGATGGTACATTAATAACATGAAAACAGAAAGGTGGTATCACTTATAAGGGGCAAAAAAAAGTTTCCTTCCACCCGAATTCGATTTTACTTTCTCAATTAGTATTTATTTTCTTTTTTTTTTAATAATATCAACTTATAAATTAGTATTAATTTTATTAATAAATTTTGGTAAATTTAATAAAATGGATTATTTATAATTTAGTGAAATTAAGCGGAGAATTTAGAATGCATCAAAATAGAGATCTTAAAAGTGAGAGTATAATTATTTTCTTTTTTTAGAAGATTTATTTTCAAGGAAAGGAGATTTTATTATTATTATATATTTATCTAGTTTTATCTATGCAGGAAATATCTAATGGTTTCTATTTTTGTTTTACAGGGAATGTGTGACATGTTCATCCAAACTCAACAGACGAGCAGCGTCAACAGCAGCAGCGGCAGCAACATTGCTCACCATCACAGCAAAAAGCGCAAGTTGGATTACAACGTGAGCCAACCAGTCATCCAACACGCATTGGTCCAATCGACCAGCGATTACCAATTGGACAATCCTGGTTTGCAACGGTATTCCGTAAGCGGTACCAACACTGCTTTTAATTCGCTGCACAATAATGCGCTGCAAAAGAGCAGTCCCATCCAACAATCCTTGGTGCGCACTTCGACGATCAAACTTCTAGATTCGTACCAACGTTGCGGTCAGAAGGTAATAATGATTTTCTTCATTGCAGGATAAATAAATCAATAATTATTATATCATGGAATCATAGAAATGCCATGGAAACCAATTTATTTAACATTTTTCATAAACCTGAAGTCCGCAACGTTTTTAAAAACGAAAAATTAAAATAGAATGATTTTTTCAAGTCATTTTAGTACTAATTTTGATTTGCACAAACTTTAAAGAAATTAATTTTTTTATTGAAACCAGTTACCTCCGAATAACTTTAATTTTATGCCAAAGTAATATATATTATCTAATTATTTTTTCGTATTCGTTTATAAAAACGTTGCGGACTTCAGTTTCATCATTTCTCCATATTTGTCTTAAATTTCAATTTGTCCGAAATTAACTGAAAGTCCTTAGTTTTCAAATGACAGAAACTAAAATTAAATTTGTGAAAGAGGCGTTTCCTTATCGATAATATTTAACGTTTCCTAAATGTTGGAGTCTATTTTTAAATTTTTATTAACAGTAATTCCAATTTTTTCTGTAATTTTTCATTTTTAATTTAATGAATTATAGTAATGGAATTTATTTTCATTTAATTGACGTTTTCTTCTAATTATTTGTTGGAATTTCTAATTTCAGGGTGTCTAACGGTCAGTGAAAAGTCAGGGAATTTCAGAAAATTTCATTCAAAGTCAGGGAAATTTCTTTCTACAAAAATTAAATTTTTTTGTAAATTAAAAAATTTTTTAATCTAAAAAAACTTGAATGGTTTTTATTAACATTTGTTACTACCATTAGAAATTAATTTATTGTTAAATATTTTAGTAACCATATTTTTGTCCAAAGAAAGCAGAAATAAGGTTATTAAAAAATCAGGGAAAAATCAAAAAATATGAGGGAGGAGTCAGGGAATTTTTTTCTCAATCCTTGTTAGACACCCTGAATTTTATTGTTTTTATTAATAATTTCTTTTATTTCCTGGATTTAAAAAATTTTTAATTTAATTTGGATATTTTCGCATTATTATTATTTTTTATAATTATGAAGAATTTTTAAAATAAGATATAATGAATTTTTAGGAAAATAAAAATTATATTTAATTAAATAAATTAGCTAAATAACAAAATAACAATGAAAATTATTCGAGATTTTCTAGATTCCATTTTAACGCCTTTTTGTATTTTGAAATAATCGCAAAAACTACTTTCATAACTAAAAGTAAAAGGAGCATTATATAAAACTGAAAATAATTAACAAAAATGTTAGTATTTTAAAGTAATAATTTCCTAAAGTTAGAATTTTAAAAAAAAAATTGGAAAGCTTCAAACAGAACTTGAAGATTAAATAAAATAACGAATCATATTTAGAAATATTAAATTAAATTAGAAAAAAAGTAGAATTTATTATCTATTAAATAAAAAATTTTACCTACAAGATATGAAATTTATTTCGAGGTAATTACAGATTTATCTCTATTTTTTTTCTACATTGATGAAAATACCGAGAACTTAAGCAATTGAAATTTCAGGCCAATGTGTATGACGCGAATTGCAATAAAAGTTTATTTATTTAGTAATATACATGGAATGAGTTTGGCGTCTTTAATAGAGCGTCATGATTATTACAGTAGGATTGAATAGAAATACGTGCCTCTGATTACACAAGGTCGTAAAAAAAAAAGCTGCTGAAACTTAAAACGAAAGAGCTCCGCGCAGTCGACCTTTACTTACGTTTACATACAATGAGCTCAGCTGCAGATTGACCCTCTCGAATCGTTACGTCTATATCCTATATTGGATGTTGATGTTCCATTTTTGTTAGCTCCGCTAAACAAGCTGGAAAAAGATGGAAAAAAAAGAGAGAGAAGCACTTGAAATGCAGAAAGAAATCCACTGAAAAACTTCGGTTCAATGTGAATATGAGGCTTTTCAAGCGAAATAGAGAAAATTCAATATCTATTTTTGTTTTTTAAAATTCTTTCACCTTTTTTTTCTCATTCAAATATATTGTATGTATTTTTAAAGGAATTTTTGTATTTTTTAAAAGAGATTGAGATATTTTCACATTAACAATTTTTTTCAAAATGTTCATCTATTTTTGAATTCAAAGCCTTTCAATTTTATTATAAATTTGAAATTATTGTAATTTAAATAAAAAAATTTTTTTTTTTGCCTATTTGAGACAAAAATGTTTTTGTTATATAAAGCAATTGAAGAAGAGAACATTTATTTGAAAATTGTGATTAAAGATGTTAAATTCATTTGAAATTCTCGAAATTGCTTACGTGACTTGAACTAGTTAGATCCTTTTAAGGCTTCTAATCTATATAACATTAATCAAGTCTCGAGTATAATTTACTTGTTGTTTATTAGATATATCAGACAATTGGTTATATACTTGAAAATCAGTTTGAGATTTAAAATAATGATTAATAATGAAATAATAAAATTGAAAGTTTGTGAGGTATTATTTTTGAAATATTAATAAATTTAGAAAAAAAAAAATAATTGACTGATATAAAATTTATATACACCCATATGAATAATAATTTTCTCTAACTAATATATAATGTTTATCATTTGCTTTAATTTTTCAAGGATGTGTGCTATTTTAAAATAACATTTGTTATCGTACAGAGCCAAGGAATTAATGAACCAGATAACAAAAAAATGATACTTGATATTTTTATATTTCAATTTTTGAATAAATTATAAATTTTTGTCGATTTTTATATTTACATTTAACAGTTATTATTTTCTTATAAAAAGAAAAAAAAATAATTAAAATAATAGAAATATATTAATTTAATACTTGTCTTCTATGAAATCAGTTCAGTCTCGAAATATAAACTAAATATCAATTTATTAAAATTCTCGATAAGTGTAATCAGCCTTAGTTTATAATTATTTTCAAATATCATTTATCTTGAATTTAAAAAATTTCCACTTAAATTTGTAACAGTTGGCAAAATATTTGAAAACGATAATGAAATAATTTTGTTCGTGAAAGAAAAAAAAAAAAATTGATTACTTTTTTTTTATTATGATAAGAAAAGAGAGATTAGAGTATTAAATGCGTAATTCAATTGTTTTAAATAAAATAAATAGAAAGTGTATTTTGAAGAAAAAAAAAAAAAAATCTATAGAGATGGTTCTCTTACTTCCATATTATAGATATGTGTGAACATAAATTTATTGCAAGTTTCCTAGAGACAGATAGCCACACTTATATTTTATATTGAGTGTAGAGATAAGTCCTACAGCTGTTATAGTAGCAGATTATTGATTCCAGTCAAGGCTTCGTTTTCATATTTCATATACTCAGATACAGTTTGATGCTCAGGGATTTTCATTGCACACGATACATGACTCCCGGAAGTTCATACTGTCAGTCTGTTGCTGAAGACCTGTGTGCGAATAACCGCTCACTTTCTTTGAACGACAAAAAAAAAAAATCCTGTCATTTAGAAATAAGACAAAAGAAGTATTTTTTTCGTTAAAAAAGAAAAAAATGTGATATTTCTCTATTTTTTGATTCGTATTATGCCAGAGTCTTGTTTTATCATGAGGCTGTTTATCAAAAATTCTGTCATTTGGAGAAATTTGATGTAATTATCTTTTCATTTAATTTCCAGGATATTTATTATTTATCACTTTCAATTTTTTTTTTTTAATCAGGAAATTAAATAAAAATTATGACTTTTTGCAGAGGAAATCTTGGTCGAGGGAGGGTAATGGTGAAGACTTGGCGGTTCATACCGCCAATACAAACAACACGACAGGTAACACTGTAGTCTCTCAGCATCACACTCAGCAACAACAGCAGCAGCAACAACAACAGCAACAACAACAACAGCTGCAGCAACAACAACAGCACAAACAGCCAAGCACAATGACGTCACATAATAAACAAGTGACAAATACGACAAATGGTGGTGGTGGTGGCAGCAATCCACAAGGTGATGGAGATTATCAGCTGGTGCAGCACGAGGTTCTTTTCTCTATGACCAACCAGTACGAAGTCCTCGAATTTCTTGGTAGAGGCACGTTTGGCCAAGTGAGTGTCTCGATAATATTTTTTAATCACAACAATTTATAGATAAATTTTCTCAGCTTTATTAAAAAAAAAACATATTTCTTTTTCTTCGTAGAGAAAACATTTCATATATTCAGTTTATCTCAAAAAGCAATTTTAATTTACATACTTTACATTTTTCCTCGTTTTTCGAAATGAAAGCTATGTAAAATGAAATGAAGATAATTAATTAATGTTAATTATGAATTCACACAGTAGTAATGTAAATTTTCATTAACTTTAATATAAAATATTTATAATTTTCATTTTTTCGATAATTAGTTATGTTTCTCATTTTATAATTTCAGAAATATGAAATTTATATAAAATTAATTTTGGAAATACCTATTTATATTTTAGATATAGAAAACTTATTCACTTCTGATAATAATAATGAAAATTTACAAACTTGTTAAAATTGTTCCTGAAAAAATGGAAACTTATTAGAGAAGATAATTAAAATTTAAAAAAAATTAACTGCCAGCATGTTGAGACTCGAGAATATTTTTTCACATAAATATTCGCTTGTTTAATAATTACACATGCAAGATAAAATAAAAAGAACTCTGAACCATTAGACGGTTGGATTTGTAAAATCGTTTTTACTGATATGTGTTCTACAAAAAAAAAAAAAAAAGAAATTCATAAAATCACAATAATTTCTATTTTTAAATCAAGATTAAAAGCGAGGCAATTTTTTTTCATTTTTTTTTTTTTTATCACAAATAATTGTTCTTTTCACCATCACTTTAAACAAAGAATGAATACATTTTAAACAAAGAATGAAATTTTTTTTTTACAAATATTGAAAATTTTCTATTATTCAGGTCGTGAAATGTTGGAAGAAAGGAACGAATGAGATAGTTGCAATCAAAATTCTAAAAAATCATCCTTCCTATGCGCGCCAAGGTCAAATTGAGGTAAGAAATTTTTATTTCTCGGCATAAAAATAGTTTTGCATTTTTTAAAATATTCACGAATTTTGTTTTTTTAAAATTATAGTTGTGAAAATTGAAAAAAAATGTGACTAATAAAAATTTGTTAATTCTTCTGAATATTAATAATAATGTTCTCATTTCTTTTGTTTGCAATTTTTCTTAAAGGTCTCCATCCTGTCACGACTGAGTCAGGAAAATGCGGATGAGTTCAACTTTGTGCGTGCCTATGAATGTTTTCAGCACAAGTCGCACACTTGTTTGGTATTTGAAATGTTAGAGCAGAACCTCTATGATTTTCTCAAGCAGAACAAATTTTCCCCTTTACCATTAAAGTACATCAGGCCAATCCTTCAACAAGTTCTTACTGCATTGCTCAAGCTCAAGGTAGGCGTTTTGTCTCTTCATTCTCTATAAAGACTTTCATATTTTATGAGAATAGTAATTATTATTATTTTAATTAATATTGATTTTTGGTTTATAATAAATAATAATATTTCGAATGTCATTGTTTAATTTTTAATTCGGAAAAATTTTTAAAGAAATTTTAATGAAAAATATTATTTTGTTTGATCAAAGAAACAAGTATTTTTTTTTTGGTTAAATAAAAATAAATATGTCTAGGAATAATTTCGTAATGTTTTTTTTTATTTGCAGCAATTGGGTTTAATACACGCGGACCTCAAACCGGAAAACATCATGTTAGTTGATCCAGTACGACAGCCTTATCGTGTGAAAGTAATTGATTTTGGCTCGGCATCTCACGTATCAAAAGCCATTTGTAATACTTACCTGCAATCGCGATACTACCGCGCGCCCGAAATCATTCTTGGACTTCCATTTTGTGAAGCGATAGATATGTGGTCGCTCGGTTGTGTCGTGGCAGAATTATTTTTGGGCTGGCCTTTATATCCAGGTAGTTCGGAGTACGATCAAATTCGCTACATCAGTCAAACGCAAGGCCTACCAACTGAGCATATGCTCACAAACGCTAGTAAAACAATTAAATTCTTCTACAGGGACCAGGAAAGTAAGTTATCAATAGAATTTTTAATTTTCAAATTTTTGATTTGAAAAAAAAAATTGTAATTTTCTTTTCATTTAGGTACGTATCCATTCTGGCGATTAAAAACACCAGAGGAACATGAAGCGGAAACGGGTATCAAGTCAAAGGAAGCGAGAAAGTACATCTTTAATTGTCTGGACGATATTGGTCAGGTAAATGTGCCGACCGATTTGGAGGGCGGTGAACTTCTTGCAGAGAAGGCTGATAGGAGAGAGTTCATTGATCTTTTGAAGAGGATGCTCACTATGGACCAGGTAGTAATACCTAATTCATTATCTTTGGCAACTTTTTTTTTTCTCTTCGTGTAAAAAAAAGAGTTGATAACATAATCATTGGGTTTTTTTTAATAGGAGCGTCGAATAACACCTGGAGAGGCATTGAATCATGCATTTGTGACATTGGCACACTTGATGGATTATGCGCATTGTAACAATGTAAAGGCCTCTGTACAAATGATGGAGGTGTGCAGGCGAGCCGGTGATTTCACCGCGAGTCCAGCGCATCATCAAGCACCACCTGCACCTCAACCAGCACCACCGACTTCTTTGGTCGCTAATTTTGTACCAACGACAAATGGCAGCGCCGTTACATTAACTTTTAATAATCAATTGAGCAATCAAGTGCAGAGACTAGTTCGGGAACATCGCACTGCGCAAAATGGATACGATAATTTGGTAATTGTTATTACTTGAGTAAAAATTTAAAAATTTCTTAATTCTAATTGAAATTATTATTTTACAGTATCAAATATACAGCAACAGTAGCCGTCGAGCAACACAGTACAGTGGTTCGTCGAGTGGATCGAATGGCGGCAGGAGTGGAGTTCACGATTTCCCCCATCAACTCGTGTCGGGAATTCTTTGTCCACCTCCTGGTTACCAAACGATGCCTAGTCCAGCTAAACACGTTGTTGTTGCACAGGTTAATAAAAATAGTTTTCTTTTTTTTTATAAATCATATTGACGATTTTCTTATTATTTTTATTAATTTTAGCCGCCGCAAGCACAACAGGCGCCGTTACAGATTCAGCCTTCAATTATATCTCAGCAAGCAGTCGCTGCTGCTGCAGCTGCTGCTCAACAACAATATGCTGCAGTTCCTGTTTCAATGGTTGAAACCGGTCGTCAAATGTTATTAACCGTAAGTACAGAATTTAACAATTATTCCTTTTTAAATAAAATAATTTTAAAATTAAAAGATTAATAATTTTAAAAAAAATAATCAGAATGCTGTGCAGACATCTTGGCCTGGTGGCAGTAGACAAATGGCAGCAATTGTGCCGTCCTGGCAACAATTGCCACCACAACATGCAACCATTCAACAACCTCTTCTCAGTGATGCTGGTGACTGGGGACGACCTCTCATTGTTGATAGTTCCGCTATTTTACAGGTACGATTACTTTCACATTTCATTAAAAAAAAAAATCCTTAACGCAAATATCTCATCTCTAGCCTCAAGGTGGAAAAAAAATCTCACTTGTATCCTAGCTCTGAGAAGATCATTGACATCCTTTTCCTGCATTAAGTAGTTAATCCTTTCCTTAATATATTTCAAAGCCGATTCCATAATTATATTTTCTTTCAAATTATTTTCCGAATATTAAATTTATTTTATGAAATCGGTAAAATTAAATTAGGGGAAAAAAAAGTGACAAATAAATTAATCTCATTTTTGTTTTTGGGGAAGGATCAGAGGCCAGTGTTCCCCGTAACGGAAGTCTATAACGCTAGTACTTTAGTTGAACATCCATCGCAAAATTGGGGTAAACGCAGTGTGACAAAACATCATCAACATCATCTCGCTGTGCCTCAACAATCGCAACATAGGCACGAGCATAAAAAAGAAACACAACAATTGAGTCCAGTGAAAAAGCGTGTTAAGGAAAGTACTCCGCCAAGTAATATGAGACGACATTCGCCAACAAATGGTCATTGGTCTCAACAGCCGCCAGTTTCTCAGTCACATCATTATTCAACAAAACACAACAGCAATCATAACGCCAGTAATGAACATCAACAAGTCTCTTATGCCAGACAGCAAACTATTACCATTCACGACACACCTTCGCCTGCTGTTTCTGTTATCACAATCAGCGACAGCGAAGACGAATCTCCTGGTAAATGGTAAGAAAACATTTTCTTTTTCTACACTCCTTCATCGGCCAATTTCGAAACAATAAATCCAATGTTTCCTGTTATTTTTTAATCAAATTTTCTTCAAATGTCTCTTTAAATTATGTTCTTAGAATTTTTTTTAGACTTTATATTTTCACTCATTTTTAATTTATTAGTGATTTTCCTTTAATTTCTTCAACTTTTCTGGTTTGTCGAATAAATCGACATCATTTCTGATCTCGCATTATTACCCTGAATTAAATATTGTTTGATTTTTTCTTTCAATTGAATTTTTGGGAAAAATTATTCAATCTTTTTATTGAAATAACTAATTTAAATTGTGTTTTTGTGTTTAATTGGAACGATTTAAATCGGATTTTTCATTGTGATTCATGTTAAATAATTTATTGTCTAGTAAACAGAATGTGAAAAATTCATTATGAATAATAATAATAATCATTGTATTTAACTTCAAATTAATCCACAAAATCATATTCAAACAAATAACAATATTTTTTTTTATTGCTTTTAATAAAATTCATAAAATTACACAAAAATTTATTGATTTAAACAACTAGGCAAAATATTATACGTGTATCACAAAATTTGTAAAAGTAGCCGTAATTTTTTGTTCCATTTGCTAAAAATAATATTTAAAAAAAAAAATATTTTTTTCTTAATTTTTGATGTTTTCAGCTTTTTTAGATGGTAAAAGAATTAATTGTGCTCAGAAAAAAATGATTTTTCTATATTCTGAAAATTCTTGCCTCAAAAGGTATTGAAAAAATTTTGTTAATCAAATTTTTATTATAAACAAAGTTAATAACAAATAAAACAATTTTTTTGAAATAAAATAATTCGTCTCGCGTAAAATTATAATCAGTAAATGAAAAGTAAATGAAAAGTAAATGAAAAATAAATTTAAAAAAAAATAACTTGAATATTAAAAACTGAATTGATTTAAATGAAAAAAAAAAGAAATAAAGTAAGCCGCATTTGATTAAAATAAATTTTGAAATTCTCCTCGTATCATATCGTAAATATAATTGACAGCTGCGGAGATCGCCAGTGCGGAGCCTGTCAAAGTTTGGCACCTCGCCTGTCTGGCGATGGACGTCCTGTCCGCGAGGAAGTCATTCGAAGGTACATTGAAACAATAAACCGGAAGCACACTAAAGCACCCCTATTGGTTCATTGTTTTTTCGTATGGATCTGCTCTCAAAAACAATTCGGCTCTTCTCATAATATAAACACGCATATATATATATTTAAAAAAACACATTATATAAGTGTATTTTTTGTTTCTTGTCACGTAACATTCCAATTCGCAAATTTAACAAATTTTCACTTCACACCCTCCGTTCGCAAAGTTAATCATTCTCTTTTTCTTTTCTTACAAAAAATGAGCAGACCATTTTTTTAACTCACCGTGAAATTCTTCGCAGGATGCAAAACAAAAAATAAAAAGCTTATTAATTGTTGTTTGCTTGATTAGGTTTTCTGGTTGTGGAGCTTGGCGTGAGATATGTTTCACCTAACTAACAACTCAATAACCCCCTCCACCCCCTTTTTTTTTTTTGTTTCAAGCATTGCCTCATCCATGATCGTTTGCGACAAATCTACAGCGATTTTTTTTTTTGACCCATTATTTGTGAGAATTTGGCAAAAATAATTTTACTGAAAAAGTATTATGAAATTAGTTCTGAATTTTATACAAAATAAGTTGTTTTAAATCTCACAAAATTAGATGTAAGATTATTTCATTTTCGTTGTAGGAATTATTTTTTTTGTCGCATTCGAGAATCTTTAATGTTTTAATGTCTTTTTTTTTACTTGGGAAAATGTTCGTTTATTTATTTTTTTAAAATTTTATATTGTTATTGATAAATGTGATTTTATTTTTCGATGTGCAGCACACAATCGACACCAAGAATTGTACAGAATACACAACCAACTCATTCCACGAGTCACTTGCATATCAATGGACACAGCAGTTCGCATTCTTCGTCGTCACAACGGGCGCAACGAAAAAATGTTATCAGCTGTGTGACAGTGGGAGACAGCGATGGAGAAGGAAGTCCAGGTCGAGCCAATGCTCATTTGTATCAACATTTGCCACAGCATCATCATCCACAATCGACACAACACATTAAACATGAGCCTCAACCACAACATCACATCAGGTAAATGATTAATTTTTATTTAAAACGAAATTATTTAAAATTTTTGAAGATTCAATTTTTTTCATATAGCTAATTAATAATTAATTATTTTTCATTTTAGTTCGGGCTACTCTTCACAATCACAGAAAAAGCGTTTGTTGGCGAAAGTTCAGTCTGAATACAATATGATAAACGTTGCAACAAAACCAGAACCTGGTGTTGAGTACATAACTCCTCATCCCTGTCACGCACCTGCTTGCAAGGAACCACCAACTTATCAGGTATGTTAAGCGAAATTTAAAAATTACCTATTAATTTTTCTCAAAATTTTCTTCAACTAGGGTTAATAATTGTCGGTTACTTCTATTTGTTTTTCAAATTAACAGAGAAATGTGTTTTATAGTTTAGTTATTTTTTTTAAAATAAACTTTGCATAGATAATGTTTGTTTTAAAATGATGATGTATGAGTATTTTTTTTTTCTTTACAGTATGTGACGACGAGCACTGCTCATCCTCATCTACAGGAGCAGCATATTGTTTATACCACCGGGGCTGATAAGCGAGTGTCTTGGCCTACAAAACGATCTGACTATAAACACGAATACGTACAGCCACCGGTTGCACATTCGCGGGACCATCAAAAATGGGCTGTGGCCAATTCAGTCCACCAATACAGGTGAGAAGTCGTTAATTAGCATGCTTATTATCCAATTATAATAATAGAATTTTAGAATAAAAAAAAATAGAAAACAATCTAATAGTTTAATGGAATAGAAAAAATAGAAATCAATAGTAAAAGAAAAGATAGTTGTAATATCAGATAAAAATACAAAAAAGAAAGCATGGTGTGATTCTTTAGAGATTTTAATTATTATTTTGCACGTGTATAGATTTTATAGTTTATTATCGATTGACAAGTGCCAGATTTAAAAAATTACTTGGCTCATGGCACTTAAATATTAGTTTGAAATTATTAATATTTTAATCTAGAAAATGTAATTTATTGAGCGTTGCATTATTTCTAAATTTTTATTTTGAAATTGAGAGAAATTAGATTTTATTGCAATTGCGTAAAATAATTAATTACTATTATTTTTTTCCAATGTAGTTTATATAAAGGGTAGTACAAAATTGGAAATTATTAGTCAGCTATCAATGCAATTATATTCTTTCACTATAAAAATTCGTATTTATTTATTTACGACGATTTATTAGAGGTCAAAAATATTTATTTATTTTTCTTATTTTTTAAACTTTATTCATTCTAATCTTCATTAAATCAAATTCTTTTCCATAATAATAATAATTATGATGGATAATTTCCAGTTTCTTTAAAAAAAAAATTTTGGAGAATCACCCATGTAACATTCATAGGCATGAATATTGAAAAACAAAAATTTAATTTAATTATATTGAAAAAAAACGAGAGAAGGAGGGAAAGAAATATAGTTGAAAGCATGAAAAGTGTATAATCGGGAAATGGTTTTTTTTTTTTTTTGTTTGTTTCTTGGGAACTGTAGGCAGAGCCAGGTGGTGGGTTCATCGGTGCATCCGAGTCATAGCCACAGTCATCATGGGCATCCAGCCCATCTGAGTCCTGGGGGTGGAGGTGGAGGCCGAAGTCCCACTGGAGGTCCCGTTGTTGGAAGTGCCCAACATCTGGGACAACCACTTTACCAAGAGTACACGCATGTGCGCTCGAGGGCCCATCCCGTGCCTCCCCCAGTTTATGTAACCGCTGCGCCTTCACAGGCTCCATCCGCTATCCAGCAACAACAAGTGCCCACCTATCAGGGATTTACACCCGGGTGGGTACCTAGACACCTAGTTGATGCATGCATGTGTGTACCATTTATTATATTACCTATTCTATATTATTTAGTAATAGTTAATTTTCATTTTTTCCTTTTATTTCACTTTCAACGTAGATTTTTTAATATTTATCATTTTTCTTATCAGATCTGTCAATTTCTTTAACTGATTATTATTTTTTTTTAGAAAATATTCTATATTTCTGAATTTACTTATTATTTATTAATTAGTTATCATTTATATAAATTATTAGAATTTTTTCATGTTTAGAATATCAATGACAGATCTGCATGTGAAAATGATTTTACAATCGCTTTAAAGACTTCTGTGAACGAGTCTTTTGGCATGTTTAGAAAAAGAAAAATTACAAAATAAATTTATTTAAAATCTGGTTAAAAAAAATTTTAAATCGTTACATTTGAAACTTAATTTTATTTTACTGATTTATTTCAATAATTGCAAAAATTAATTAGATTAATAATGTTAATTTTTATTTAAATTAATTTTATTTGAATTCAATTGAAATTATAAAATTTGTTGTATTTGGTTATATAGAAAATTTAATTAGAATTTCTTGAAAGAAAAAAATATTCTTGAACATTAATTTAGTATATGAATAAACTAAGGATCGCATCGCATGAAATTTAGACATTGAAAAGTACTTTTTTAATGAACTATATTGAAATAGATTAATAGTAAAATTAAAAAAGACTAAGCATGCTGATAGTCTCATTTCTCAAGAAGGTAGGCGATTTTTGTATTTAATTTCTAGTCAGTATTTTCGATTTTGTCGATTTCTGCTTCAAATTTGGATATCATTGTTACTTTAATTAGTTTTCATAAAAGCCTTAAGATTTATTATTTAGATATTAAAATCTCTTTACTTAATTTAGTTATTTAGTTTTTATTAAATATTTAAATTAGTCTTTCCTTAATTAGTTTATTCAATTTTGCTTTTTTAAATATTATTTGTTTTAAATTTGTCAAAATTAAATTTTTATAAATTAGTTTTTCAATTTTTAGAACAGTTTAGTTGTGAATAGGCACGTGAACGAATTATCATATCCTTGGAATGAATTTCTCTCTTAAAAATGTAAAATTTTAAAATAATTTTTGCATAATAAAATAAATAATTTTATTATATTACGTCACACAACGATGAATTTTAAAAATCCTTTTACTCTTAAAAGATTTAATAAAATAAACAATTAAATTTTTAAGAATGATTTATTTCAAGGTTGTGATTTATATTTTTCATTTTTGGTGACAATATAAAATGATTTCCAATTTGCACAAATTTTTTTCTTAGAATATAGTGAAAAAAAAAAAATGAAAATAACGATTATTTTTTACTTTTTTAGATGTTTTTAAGGACAGTTTCTAATGAGTTTTACCCCGTTTTTTACAGCTCGTCACCATTAACGTTGTATGATTCTAGTCGTGCATTGCCACCTCCAGCGCATCACAGCTCAGCGAGACCATTACTGGCAAGTCATGCGGCACATCCACTACCCGCACATATGCAACCGACTGCAGTCTACGGTTTGGCCCCTCTTTCTCCAGCAAAACAGCACTATCAACCATCCGGTTTGTGGTTTACCGAGTAGATACCCGGAAAAAGAAAAAAAAAAAAGTAAGAGCGATGTGAGAAAAAAAAAACAAATTTAATGTTCTCTAAATATTGAAACATCAATCATAAATGTGAAAGAAAAAAAAAAAAAATTATACTCACGTAAAGCAAAGGCAGACTTTAGGATAAAATACGAAAATTTTGAAAGTAGTCATTATTATCACCAGGGGGATTATTCAATGCGCTGACTCTACGATTTTTTACTTTTAATCTAATTTTTTTTTTCGAAAAAAAAAAGAAACACTTCTCGATCCAAAAAAAAAAACATTAAAATATTAATCCGTCCTATGCAACGACTATCCCACTTGGACTGCCTGCTTATTATCTTTATACACGAATCATAAAAAAAAATCAATTTTATCCTAAATTTATCATTATTTACAATCATTATTTACCTAAAATTTTTCTTTGCTTCACGTGTTGTTTCAAAAAAGAAAATGCCAGAATTATTTTAAAGGGTGGGGGAAAAAAAAAATTAAACCGGATTAAAAAGATGAAAAAAAAAGAACAGAAAAATGTTCTGTGTGCCGAAATGAGAGGGGCAACAAAAAAAAAACCCCTGTTTTTTAATTTTACATAAACTTTTTGATTTTCTTTTCATTTACAATGAAAATCAAGTTTGACAAATGAAAAAAACAAAAGAGAATTTTACGAAGCGTCTTTATAAAATATGCTGGTAAAATAATTAATTATCGGCAATATTGACGGTGCACCTTAATGAACGATCAAGTCGTTTAAGTATATAATTAATAATCGACACAACGTATAAGTTGCATTTCTAATAATTGAACGTTCGGTGCGTATTACAAAACGTTGAGTTTTTTTTTGTATTACACATCGTTAACGGAATTCTTAGCTATATATATATATATATATCTTTGAGCAAGATTTAACAATCCGTTTATAATTTTTTTTTCTTTTTTTTTTAGGTCAGTAACGATTTAAGTTCTGCAATCAGGTCTATAGTGCTTTAGATTTTAAGTCTTTAAAGTTTTAAGTCTTTTTAAAGAAACAAAAAAAAAAAAAGAAAAACATTTTCTGTTTTTCATAACGTGAAAATGAACGTTGTACTTTTTAGTAAATCGCCCTTTGTAGGCCGCAACAAAATGCGCGCGCGTTTATAGCAAAAAAAAAAAATAAAAGAGTATTACAAGTTTTAAACGATACTGTTCGTTTTGCTTAAGCTATTTTTTAGTAAATCTGAAATTAAATCGAGAATAAAGAAGAAATGAACATATGCACGAAGTTCACCTTTTATTCTATTTGTATAAAAAAAAAAGAGGAAAAAAGCAGAAGTCATACTCGGTTGCAAAAAATGTAAACTTTTTTTCTAATGCTGTGAATTTACAAAAAAAAAACAGCAACATTATTTATTCATTCTCGATTTTCTTTTTCGAGAAATCTATCAGTCTCATTTCAAAAAAGTTTCCTTGGAAATAAACAAAAAAATTTATTCTATCATGAAGAAAATATCATAATGAATTTTTTTTCGATCTGAGAAAGTGAAAATCATCATTTATTTTCGCGGAGGAAAAAATCTGTCAGTTTTACAGATTTAGGTAATAAAAATGTTTTTTTTTCAAAATATTATTCATTTTGAGAATATTATAAATTTTGCTTTCGTAGAAAATTTTTTTTCTAACAGAAAAATTGTTATAAATTGGTTTTTGTAACTACTTAATAAATTTTGTAAAAATTACAGAAATTTGTTTTTGAAAATATTGAAAAACAAATATTTGTTACCAAAACAATTGGTAATAAAAAAAAAACTTTTTGCAACATTTATAGAAAAATTCAAAATCTATAATAGTTACAGATTTTTTTCTCCACGTTCATCATCATTTTAGGTTTATTGCAACTGTCGTTATATGTATAGTTATTATTATTATAATTTTTTTTTTTTTGTAAATAGAAAGAAAAAGAAACAAAAGCGATTGCATTGCCAGGACATTTGAATCGCAATAGTTTTGTATTCAATGCACTCTTACACGTTTAAAACGGGATCATGATAAATATGTATCTAGCTTTTACTTACAATTTACTCGACCAATTTTTCCATTGGTTGATTTGTGTTTATTTTAGGCTATGTGCGCAATTCGTTCACTTGGAACAAATTTTTCGTTTTGCGCAAAAATTTTCAAGTCTGATCCTGATTTATATATATATATTTTTGTTTTCTGCAATTGTGTCAATAATTGCATCCTAGGAACTGTTTAATTATAAACGGTCGTGAAATTAGGATCGCAATAGATTTAATATCTGGTATGCATCAATTTTAATTGTCATTAATATTAATATTGTAATTATTAATTTATAATAATTAATACTATAATTATTAATTTATAATTATCAATATTATAATTATTAATTTATAATTATCAATATTATAATTATTAATTTATAATTATTAATATTATAATTATTATTATTTTTATTATTATTATTATTATTATTATTATTACTAGTTGCTTATTAGCATCATGAAAGGAAGACTTTTCCTTAAAAATAGTTTAGACTTTTTTTTTTTTTTGCTTTAAATACCTTTCCAAGAGAGGTAGAAAAATATTCACTGATTTAGATAATATATATCGTTTCAATAATTCCTCCATGTTGCAACGAAGGGACTAGTGTCTCTATTTTGTAAATAGACAATTTTTTTGTGATTAGGTTTTTAAATAATTCTTCTATTTAAATCTTGTTCTTCCTCACTGATTCCGAACACATTCTATAATTGATTTGTATATATATAAATATATAAAATTAGAAGTACTTTTTAATTCTCCATTTACTTCTTATTCTTCTTCTTCTACTTCTTCTTCTATATAATTCTTTTTTTTCTACTTCTTCAATTTGTCGATGTTTTGCAAGCGCATCGATTCAAAGTTTTAACGGAATGACGCTTAGATATTGTTTGCTAAAATATTTGAAATATATGAAAAAAAAATATATAGATATATAGATATATTATTATATACATAAAAGTGAAATAGATTATAAAGGACGGCATTGACGATACATTAATTATATAGTGATACGCGTCCAAAATATTAGATGAATGCGTTTTTTTTTTGTGTATAAAAATTATTATAAGACATTACAGGAAAAAAAAAAAAAATTTTAGATACGTTATGTAGGAAATTACACACGTTCTAAGGAATCCCATCTCTTGATAATAAAAATAAAAAGTAATTAAGGATAATGCCTCAACGTTAGTTGTACGATGAAAAAATTCTCAATCTTCCATCTTATTGCGTAAATTTATTCGCTTCCTTTTTCATCTCTTCATTTGCAGGATTATTCTTTTTTTCTGTTTACAATTCGTTTTCTCAAATATTCCATTCTCTTTTGGATTTCAAAAATAATAACAGTTTTTGATCAAAAAAAAAAAAAAAAATTTTTTTTTGTATAATTTGAATTTGTAAGAAAATTAATTCTCAATAAAACATAATTGTTATTACAGGATAGTTAGTGTATTTTTTTTTTTTTTTTTTGGACAAAAACTGTTGATGGTAAAAAAATTTGAATTTTTTTTTTATGATCGGAATGAGAAATTTTGCTAGAAATCTTTGCAAATATGAGAAGTAGAAAGGCGAAGTTTGTGCATGAAAATTGTCAAGATTGGTGAAATATTTATGTTGACATCTGACGTGTATTAAAAAAAAAACACATTATTACAATTATAATATCTAACCAAGTCGATGTGCCTGTTTAACAAGTAATCGTATTATTATAAACAAAAAATAACATAAATAATTTAATGTAACTTGCTGAAAAATGCTAACCGGTCTTTTATTGATATCGGTAAAAAAAAAACGTTTACAATCAATGTAAGTGTTACGTGTTATCAAGAAATCACGTTTTTTCGTGTTTGGTACGTACATAAAAAACCCCCTTCTTCACACTCATACACACGTACACATGCTTCCACATATGTTCATAATAGGAAAAAATTTAGCATTCTTACCATTAGTCATATTAATAATAGATTTTTCTCTTAAAATATGTTGCTTTAATTATTGTTTTTTTTCTCTAGTTATTATTTCTAAATAGGGTTTTTTTTTTTCTAACGATAAGTTTTTTCGCGCAAAAAAGGTACCGGTAGATTTATTAAATATATATGTACGTGTATATATATATATTAATTAATCCTTTAGTTTTTAAAAGTCTCCTGTTGACTGACGTTTTTGTCTGATTTTCCAAGTTTTTTTTTCTAATTGTGAATTTTTTGTCAAATCTATGTTTCAATTTTTGTTGATTCATTTTGTTTTTAGATTTGATTTTCTCAGACATTTTTGATAAAAATTTTTCTTTCGTTTCTGTTACTAATTGTAATTTTCATTATATATGAAAAAAAACAATGTTTGCTTTTTATAAAATTAATATTAAAAAATATTCAAAATTTTGTCAAATTAACAATTATACTGAACATGTCAGGGTTAAAAAAAAAAAAAAAAACGTCTGCCAATACGAGTTTATCATCTCAGTCACACGTAAATCATTTGCGATACATAATAACGAGTTACTATATAAAAAAAAATACACACCTAATTAATTAATTAATAATAATAATAAATGAAGCTAATAATGCTCTGTGTATAATAATTAAAGTACTGTAACCGTATTGTTGGTTCTAGTTGTGATATTTTACTAAGAAATAATGTCGTTAAGTGAGGGATAATGTTTGTAAATTTTTTGGTAAATCGAGCAAGGAGGTGAACATGATGATAAATATAAAAAAAAATGAAAAAAAAAAAAAATAACCAATACCTTAATCATAAAGCCTTAGAATGTACGTGAAACGGTGAGAGATAATTGATAGAATAGATTCGATAATGACAGCGTTAATATCTGCTCAAAAAATTCTTTAATTAAGTAATAATCTCACGGGTTTGGGCACACACACACTTTTTCAAGTAGATTTATAAATGAAAATAAATCACTAATTATAGAGGGAGTGAAAAGTAGAATTGAAGGGAATGATTTCATTTTAATTTGTGTTTCATTGTATTTTCTTATATTTTTTTTTGTAAATTGTGAATAGTTTTCTTTTTTTTGGGGTAATTATAACAAAATATTTACTACGTTTGGGATTATTTTAACGATCCGTTAATATGTACTAACATTCCATTGGAATATTGTTTTCTTATTTTTTTGAATTTCCATTGATTTTTTTCTTTTTTGTACAATATTTTTATTTTCAAAAATCTATTGGTTCGATATGAAAAGATTCTCAATTGAGAGAGAAAGATTGCTCTCGATGAGATTAAATCTTGTAGGATTTTTGGATCAGATTGGAGATGTCATAAAGTCGAAACTGTGTATAGATTTAGCCATGAAAAAAAAAAATTATGGGTGTGTCTAGAATTCAAAAAATCTTAAGAAAAGAAAACTCCATGCGCAATGTTTGTCGATTTGAATCTTCGAGTTTGTTTGTTTACTTCAAAATTAGTTTTAATAAAAAAAAAAAATTCGTATTAAAAAATTATTAAGTTTTTTTCTGAAATTGATTCAGAAAATTCAATTTTTTTTTTTTTGAATTCACAAGAAACGATTTTTCAAACCTACTTAAAGAAAATAGTTCTTGTTACAATAAATTTGGTTTTATTGTAATAAGAACTAGCTTCTTAAAAATTATTTATTTACAAAATAAACTATAAATTTTGACTAAAAGTAAAATTTACATATATTGTGAATGGAGTTTTTTAACTTAAAATTTGCTGAGATTTTGACAATTTGTATCCAAAGAACTAATAATTTAATAACTTTTTACAAGCAGATATTTCATTTTTTTTTGTAAGTAAATAATATTCTCTTTATAAATGTTTGATTTAAATTAATTTCTTTCACAAATAATCGTTTTTTTCTTTAGAATTTCTTTTTTCTCTATAATAAAAAATTACTTTTTTTTCATAAAAATTTGAATAAATAGCAAAATGAGAAAAAACAATTTGTTCGCAAAATCTCAGCAAAACAATACAGACGATTTTATAGCTATGCATCAAAAAGAAGGAACTTAAAAAAAAATCACTAGTGGGATTTATTATATTCATAATAATATTGTACGAAAAATAGCTTGTATATTAATATTGCATCATTGTAAAATGTATTATTGGAGATAGATGTATCCGCAGTATCAGAGAGGAAAAGGACATACAGAGAAATAAAACATATTTTTGGATTTATTAGGGTACAATACGTGTTCCGTGCGTTTTCATAGAACTAGATTTAAACATAAGTTTTCATTAACTTGAATTACTTGTGAGAATCGGGCCAGACGTCTATATATATGTAGTGTGTGATCCTCACCACATTTTTTTTAAATTTCAATTTTTTCATATGCCGCTGGTTGGCATTCTAAAAAAAAAAAAAAAAATACTAGTCTCATCGTTTATCACAAATTCAATTTTATTTCTATCATATTATAAAATAAAATTCAAATTTTGAATTTTATTGCCCAATTCTTAATGCAAAGAAACTCGATTTATGAACAAAATATTCAGAAAATTAATTAAATTAACTTTTTATAAAAACTATTTTTTTTGTATCGCGAATTGAATTCAATTAAATGATAGATTAATAAAATCAATTATATAATTGATATATTTACTAATTTTACTATTAGTAAATTAATGAATTTTTAATTTTAATTAATTTAGTTAACTGAAATCGAGTTTCTAAATTTCAATTATCAGGGGAAAAAAAAGAAGAAATCATGTCATCTAGCTCTGATTATTTAAGACTGATGATCAGAAAGTAGTGGCAGAAAGTTTTGGTCTTTAATTAGACTATGTACCAAGAATCTTTCTATGTCTATATGAATGTCTAAAAAAAAAAAAAAATGAAAAAAATTCGGTAAATATGCTTACCGTCCATATGTAACGTAAACGAAATTACAATTTGCGTGTGTGTCCTTCTTGTAAAAAAAATATGTATTTTATGACTCGTCTATCGCACGAAAGAACATAATAATTCTCAATTATTTGATGAGAATATTATTAAAAAAAAAAATTAAATAAGCAAATATTTTAAGACTTGAATTTGTACGCGCGGCCTGGTTCAATCAAGAATTAAAAATATGCTTAGCAATAATAATGTCCTGACTGTGTTTTAAATCAGTGTTATCAACGTTTATTGTCAAATATTGTACACGCCGCGAGTTACACTGAAAGCGTTTTGAAAAAAAAAAAAATTGAATTATATTCGATAACGTTTATAAATTCAGTGTGTTATATATTGTTCAGAATTATTCATTTTTCATGACCCTTAGAAATCCACAATTGAAAAAAATGGCGAAAATCAATTAATTTTCATAAAGATAAAAATATTTTTCTTTGACTTGAATGTAAAATTTCTTTGTAATTTATAATAATGAAAATTTATTGATTTAAATCGTCGAGTCAAAAATAGCATAATTTATTTATAAATCAAGGGAAATGAAGGCGCAGGGTTCGTTTTTTTTTCGATTGTAAAATTTTGATTTTTTTTTTTTTTAATTTTTCTAATCGAGTAAAAAAAAACAAATGCTTAATAAAATCGACTGGAAATATTTGGAGGGGGAAGGGACTTGAATTTATTTGTATAGAATATTTATATATGCATAATATTTTTAATGTGTGATTATAGTGGAAAAAAGATCCCTTGCAAATAGAATTTTTTTTTTTTTCTATAGAGGTCCTAGCAAACAGTACCCGTTTAGAATTTACAAAGTTAGGCAAACTAAAATCTTGATAAACTGCAAAGTTCCATTAACAATAACGATAAAAAGAATGCAAAGCTTTCTGACTGGTGTTTTATACATATACATTTGTAGGACTAAAAAAAACTGCGCTATACGATTATACAAGCATATGTAACATATTCGCGTATACCGTTTAATAATTTATAAGTACTTGTATAATATATTATTATTATTATTGTAATTATTCTCATTATTATTATATTATTATTATTATTACTATATTATTATCATTATTATTATTATTATTATTATTATTATTATTATTATTATTGTATTCATTATCATTTTAAGTCGATTATAGTTATTGTCGTTATTAGTTAGTTTCTCTGTCACACTGAATTTTAATCATTCAAATTTAGTGAGTCACATACTTTTTATCTACAATAATTATTATCTACAAGACAATGTGTACGTTAAATCGTTCTAAGATTTTCGAGTAAAATTTGTCTTTGTACATTTTTGTCGCTTATTTAGGCATACAAGAGTCGTTCTTTAAAAAAAACAAGAACTGAACATTTTACACAAAAAAAAAAAAAATAATTTTTCAAAAATGAAAAGAATTTTGAAATATTATTTTTTTTAAGAATGATGAATTCCTTTTTTTTGTTGAGTATTTCAATTTTTAAAGTGTCAGTTGTTGTTTTTTTTTTTTTTTTAGAATAATTATCGTTATTATAAACTTTGCTTATAATGCGAGACTTTATCTTGAATATTAAATGGGAACTGGCACTATGTAGAATATTATAAGATGATCTATAGAGAATTACATCTTTAAAATAGTTTTCTTTATTTTTTTTGTGTCTCGTCAATGAAATTTTGAAAATTTATTTTTTTTTAACAAGTAATTGTAAAATTATTATTTTGAATATGAGGAAGATTTTTTCGAAATTAAAGACTTAAATTAAATTATTTTTAAAAAAATCACAATTTTGAAGAAAAATAAATTTTTAAAACAATTTTTGAGGCACTTGGAAAAAAATTGAGAATTCTGTTTTCATTCGCATAGATCTTGAATGTCGATTGTCGTGAAAAAATTTCTCGTCCCATGTATTCGTGACTACGCACGAGACTCGACCACGTCTTAATAAGCGAAGAAAAATGGCTATATTTGAAAAAAAAATATAAATAATAATAATAATGCCAGAACGAATGTAATTTAACGTTACAATTAGTTTTGGAAGTATTACGTTCGCAGAGCGTGGTCCGTGCGTAATAATAAACAAAAAAAAAAAAAAAAGAAAAAAAAAGAAAACATTTTGCGCTTTTCTCAACGTGAATGAAATAGACACACCTCTCAAAAAAAAAAAATAAAAACAATTGCTATGTACGGGGCTTGGTATTATTTCTATTTACAATAAAAATAATTAAAAAAAATAAGAAGGTACCAGATAACGATATAGAAATTGTAATAACGTTTTAATAATTATAATTAGTAATCACGAATCGCCAAGTCGTCGTCGGCGTATATTAAATTATTTCCAGAGATCGATCAAAGTACAAAGAGTAGAATTAGTTTGATCTCGAAAATAGTTTAATAAGGATCGACATGAAAAGAATAAAAAAAAAAAAAGCGGCGTCACCATATTGACCACCAAATTACCAATTGTATAATTGAATCTAGTGTCAAAATGTGTATTCACATTCAAAATATTGAGAGTAGAAAAAAATCATATTAAAAATTGTATACAAAATTTTCAAAATCATGAAAAAAAAAAAATTTTGCAATTTTTCTTTTTTGCAAATTAATGTTGTATATATATATATTGTAATTTTTATTCTAACATTGTGTACAATTCAAAATTGTGTCTTTTTTCTAAGTTTAATATTTAACGATTTTTTTCGAGTGAAGAAATAATTTCTCCATTATTGAAATTCGTGTTTCACACGTTTAAATTGACGATAATAAATTAAAATTGTGAAATTTTTTTTACATACACTTTGTAGATTTCGAAAGATTCGTAATGAGGAAAGTGGGTTTTGTTTTCCCAAAAAAAAAGAGAAAGAGAAAAAATCATGTGTGGTGACGATTTACTTAAAAAGTTTTTAATTTGTTCAATGAATATCGCACGGGGATAAAGTCTATTTGATATTTATATTTTAGTATACCAATGGGCTGATTATTATTATTATTATACATTTAGCGTATTGTAATGTTATTGATTGATTATTTTGTCGATGTGCAGCTCGTCAATGATTGAAGGATGTAATAATGATGATGATGTTGAAATGAAAGAGACGAGAATATTATAATATAGATGCAACGAATTGCACATCGATTATTGTACCACGGTTTTCTGTATATTATTGTAGTATATAATCAAACACTAAAGACTAATGCTTAAGGTGATCAATAAAGCTTCGGGATGCGTGATATTTTCGAAGTCATGAAATACACAATTATATAAATATATATAAATATATATATTTAAAATGGATGAAAAAAAAAAACCGAAAAAAAAGTGCGCTATAATAAATTGAAACGTGAAAGGTGCCAATCCAAAAATTGGTCCTTTTATACGTTTAAACGAGAAAAATATTGTCTTTTCATCCGTATCCTTTGAATTCCTTTGAATTTCCTTTTTTATTTCTTTTACTTATCCTTTAATTTTACCACTTTTGCAAATTTTTTCAAAGATTTAAAAAAGAATCTATTCTTAAATATGCAATTTCAGTGAAAGAAAATTTAAATTTGTTAAATAATATTCAATATTAAGTAATTAATGAAAAGAAAAATTTAAACATAAACTTTTATATAAATATCAATATCTATAATTACCATTTAATAATAAAGTAAAATTATTTCATTACTAAATGAAAATTAACAATTTTTCATATTAAATATAATCTGTAAATAAAGAACTTTATTTGTATTCTAAATAAAAATCCATATAAATTGTAATTTATTTATATAGTAGATGCAAATACTTAAAGTTTCTGCGATTAAATTCTTAATTATAGAGACTAGTCAGCCTTAAATTAAAAAAAAAAATTAATTAATCAAACTTTCAATTTGTAGTGTTGGTTGGCGAAGGAATGATTTTTGTTACTGTCAAAACTTTTGGGGCTTGCGTTACAATATTTGCAGTTACATTTGTAGTTACATTGTTTGCTGGCACGTGAAAGAAATAGAGCATAAAACCTGCCGCTAATAGAAGATGCAAGCCCAATATTACGGAGACGTAAATATATTTATGTTTTCCTGGAAGTTAAAAAAATATAAATTTCCCTCTATTTTATAAGTATTTTTTTTTTAAATATTTAAAAGACTTTATCCTTTTTAAATATTTAAAACTTATTAATAATTTTTAAATGATTAAATTTTCTCTTATTTATTACCATCAATAACTGGAAGAAGTGATCGAAGTAAAACTCCACCAGATAATACTGTAGCAATAACTACTAGAGTCCATTGTAACCAATCGTACTGGATTGTCCAGAGAAAAGCGACTGGCACATAAATTGATAAGGAATAGCCGTAAAGGCATAAAAGTTGTAAAAGACCTGGAATTTGTGGAGCTTCCTGAAAATAGAATTTTGTTTCAAAATTAATTGATTTACATAACTCTGTAAGTAATTTATTAATGAAATTAATAAATAATTATTTTAATTTAATAATAATCAAATAAATAATGCATACTTCAATTAATTCTCCTTGTGTACTCGGTTGACTTGTGGTCCATTTTAAAGCACCCCAAAGTGCAAGAGGCAATAACCAAGCGTATAAAAAAATACAAGTTGCCGCACCGGTGATAATATGAAATTCATATTTCCAATTATGCCTATCGTAATTTACAGTTTGAAGATAATTTGCTATATTTCCACTCACAGCTATTGAAAAAACTAACGTTACACATATCCAAAATGGACCATAAAGATCTGGATTTGGTTCTATATGTGTTTTGAGATAATTATCTGATCCATGTGGAATCATTGATCTTTTTATTCTTTCAACAACATCTTGAGTGTTGACATTAAAAAATTTCTGATAATATTCCACTGTCCAGAAATTGCGTTGTTTTTGCTCTAAAAGAAAGAAAAATCAATGATTTCGAAATGAAAATTTAATTTTTAGGTTAGAATTTCAATTATTTGTTTTTAACTCTATTTTCAAGGGATTTAATTATTATTTAATTTTGGAAAATTAAATTAAATTATAAGACAATTATTTACATTTGTAATTGTAGAAAATTATATGAAAATATATATAAATCTAACCTTCTGTGTTGGGCATTCCTTCAAGATCTCGTACCATTTGATTTCCAGTGGGATCATTTGTAAAATTACCAAATGGCTGATGACCAGAAGTTCCAATGTCTAATTGTGCTTGCCCAGTACCACCTGATCGATGAATTGGTGAATAATCTTGAAAAGAAATAAATTGTGCTTCAGGTGGATTTTTCCTTTCGCCGTCCATGTTTTTTGCTGTTTTGACAAATGTCAAATGCCACCTGTCACTTAATAAACTCGGATTTGCGCATGAGCAAATGGAAAACAACAGTGGTGTCACCTGTCGTTAAATTTTTCTACTTTATCGACATAACCTGAAATAATTTAATAACATTTGATCTAGTTTGATAAATGATAACTGTACATTTGTATACATATACAACGTTAAGATAATTAAATATTAATATTTATTTATAATTCATACAGTGTTTCAGTTTATAAACTAAATTTTAAGAATAAAATATAGTAAATATTGTATGGAACAATTCAGAAGTGATATCTGTGATTGATGGAAATAACTAAAAATTAAAAACAAACTTTCATTCAGTGATCTACTTTTGTAACATTCATCAACATAATTTTTTGACAGATTCATATATAAAAAAAAAGTTTTAATTATCACGATAGTCACGATATAAAGTGGCTTTGATCCTGAGATATAAAGAAAAAGAAGATATAAACTTATATTTACAAACAAGAACGGCAATGCATTGTCCTTAAGGAAGACATAAGTTTTTATACTAAAAATCTAGTGAGAAATGTTTTTCATTAACTATTTTCTATTTATTTAGAATAAATTATGCAAGGAAAAATATAATTGTCAATTAACTGCCAGATTTTTCATACAATCAGCACTCAAGATTTACGAATGAGGACAGGACCAAATGTTATAGGTTAGAATTTTCAGAAATTATTTTTCCTTTCACTTTATTGTATATTTTTTAATCATTATTCATTTTATGTCAAATTAAATTAATATAATGAGAATTTTTGTTTTTTATTTTACAGGATTACAATAATGCTACATCGGTCTTATAGTCTTTTAAGTTTTATTCGACGAAATGTCATTTGTCACTGTGCAGACCGATTGTACGTTTTTCACATCGGAGTGGCTAAAAAGCACACAAGTATTTTTATTACATCAAAATATGTTCACGTTATATCGAAAACACAAAAGATTTTCAATAATAACAACAATACATCAGCGAGAAAAATTGGCGAATTACGATGGATACATGCCTCTGCCTCAAGATTTATAGCAGGGAAAATTGAAGAGAAATCTGAGAAAATTGTCGAACAACCACTCAAGCAGAAGGTAATTGAACATGATAAGAAAAAATTGGGTAAAGTCAAAGAAAGAGACTTGGAAGTAAAAGCAGCAAATTTAGAGGATATTGTTAAGAAAGATGAAAAATTTGTTAAAGAAAAGAAAAAGGAGGAGAAAATCGTCGAGAAAGAAATAGGAAAGGATGAAAATTTAATTCCAAAAAAAGGTACGTTTCTAACATTTTTTTTTATTTTTGTTCATTACTTTTAATATTATTCAATTTTTGTTTTTTAGCAGTGAAAAAAAGAGTGAAACTCGATTTAACTGCTTCGTCGTTAGAGCGAAATTTTATTACACCAGTGAGAGCGATGTCGGATTTTTTACTTAAACCTTCAGACTTAGAATCACTGCCAAAAACAAAAAGACGATCGCCCTATGAATTTGAACCACCGATCACTGTCTATTGGAGAAAGGATGTCGAAGCAAAGTAAGTGAAAAAAAATTTAAAAATCTCTCCTCATTTAAATTTTATTACACAATAAAAAAAATTTCTATTTCTATAGAAGCCGGAAAATTAATTTCAAAAGCAAATTCCTCTTTTTTTAATATATAAATTAGTTGAAATTTTTAATTAATTACGAATTTTTTATTTTTAGAGCACTAGCAGTTTGGGGTTCTCAAGAAGCTCTTCTAAAAGAACTTTTGAAAAAGGAACTGGAAATCAAAACTTACCAGCAAAGTAAATATAGTTTATTATTTTCTTTAGTCTTTTTGTTTAGATAGTGTAATTTTTATTTACTTAAAAAATTGTCTAATTGAAGTAACAAATAATAAGTAAAAATTTATTGGAAATTTAATACATTTTTTTTCAGATATTTTTACTGTAAAGCGAATGTTAAGAGACTATCGGCGACAAGTTAATCATAAAACTAAAAATGTTGCACCGGAAGGTCTTTTTGGAAGATCTGGAAGAGTTGTTGTTACTGCAATAGTAATGTAAGAATATTTTACTTATTATTATTGGTTTATTTTATCATTTTTCGTCTCTTGTTATTTATAAAAGAATTAAATTTTGTTTTCAGAAATGCTTGTAACTTTCTTTTCAAATTATTTGCCTGGCTCTATACTGGATCTCACAGTATGTTCTCGGAATGTATTCATTCAGCTGCCGACACATGTAATCAATTAATTTTAGCCTACGGAATTCACAAATCCGTTCAAGTAAGTCTAATTAAAATGTCAAATGTTCAAAATTAGATAAATAAATGTTAATATTAAAATTTTATTATTTCAGAATCCAAATCCAGATCATCCTTATGGTTACACGAATATGAAATATGTTTCTTCTTTGATATCAGGTGTAGGAATTTTTTGTGTGGGAACTGGTCTTTCTGTTTATCATGGAATGCACGGTCTTCTATTTCCTGAGCCCGTTGATTCTTTTTATTGGGCATATTTTATTTTAGGTGGTTCCTTAGTTTCGGAAGGCGCAACTTTAATGGTGGCAATTAATTCCATTAAAAAAGGAGCTTTAGAGAAACGACTAAAGTTTAAAGAATACGTATTATCAGGGCTGGATCCTTCCGTCAATGTCGTTCTCATGGAAGATTTTGCAGCAGTGAGTAATTTCTAATTCAATTATTTTTCCTATTATATTTATTTATTTTCTATTTATTATTATTCCTATTATATTAAATTACATTTTTTTTAATTATTAAGAAAAATCAAATTTTTGATATTATTTTTCATAAAAAATGAAGGAGAATTTAAATGATTTTAGGTAATAGGCGTGGCGTGTGCTGCATCGTGTATGGGATTAACTTCTTATTTAGGAAATCCGACATTTGATGCAATTGGATCACTTCTTGTTGGTGGACTTTTGGGCGGCGTGGCTTCATTTATTATTTATACCAATGTCGCAGCTTTAATTGGACGAAGTATACCGCAAGAAAATCTCGATAAAATAAATGCTGAATTAGAGTCTGATATTATGGTAACTAGAATTTTTCAATTTCATTTTTACATTACGATTTTATTTATTTTTTTTAATTTTGTTTTATTCATCGTAATTATGATTTTAATTTGTTTTATCTACTAGATTGTAAGATTGATATTTATTATATTTGATGTCATTTAGTATTTTTTTTATATATTTATTATAAAATTGGATAATGTGATATTTTTGCACGAATTTATTTTCAATTTGTTGAAAAAGAAAGATACTGACATTTTTCACTTTAGGTCCGAGCGATTCATGACGTTAAGGGTATAGATATGGGAAACAGTCTCGTGAGATATAAAGCAGAATTGGATTTTGATGGAAGGGAATTGACAAGATCTTACCTTGACAAACACGATCTCAACGCAATGTTAGAGGTAAATTATAATTTAATTTTTATTATTGATTAGGATTTAGAAAGAAAATTTTTATTTAATTTAAAAAGTTAATATTTTAATTAGAAATTTTAATGAAATTGGCCAGATAGTACAGCAATTGTTATATTTTCAGGAAGTGAGAAAAATGCAAAATATCGATGAACTTGAGGCATTTCTTTTGAAGCACGGCGAGAATATTGTCGATTTACTTGGTGGTGAAATTGATAGAATAGAAGTTAAACTTAAGGTAAGATTAATATTAATTAACAAAGAATTTTAAAAAATTCATTTGTTTAAATATATATGTTTTTTTTACAGAAAAATCATCCTGAAATTCGACACTGTGATCTCGAGATTCTGTAAGAATGTTGTCTACACTTTTTTTTTCTCTCGACTGTAAATATTAATTTTTAATAATATATATTTAAATGTCTTTACGGATCTACGACTAAGTTGTACTGGATGATTTGAGTGTCAGTTCGATTTTGTAGCAACAACACTCGCTTTAATAAAATGTGTAAAAATATTCCCTTAAGCAAATGACTTTCTTCAGTGATATTTTCAAAGTTTTTTTTAAAAAAAAAACTCAAACAGGTAAAATTTTCTTTTTTTTTGTTAATTTATCGATTTTCTAATTTATATTTATAAAGTTTCTAATTAAATTTTTGTTTTTTTAGCATAGTTAATTTTTTTTTTCAACCGGCAAATTGAAAGACGAAAGTTTTATAAAAACTTTTTTTTTACCGCCTTTTTAATTTATCCTTTAAATTTCTTTTAGCTACTATTTGCTTTTGAAAGAGTAACTTATTTTCCATGTTCACAAAAGAGGACGTGAAAAGGTGGATTTATTTTTAAATCTCCTGGATAATATGGGTTTTAATAGAATGAAGATAATATTTCGGTGAGTTTTCTGCTTTCCTTTCTTTTCTGCATTAATCTGAATAGATTATTATCGAATAGTTATTTGAAGTTGAAAGGTTTTTAATATATTAAAAAATTTCTTTTCGTGCTTTTGTAAAGTGAAATACAATTTTTCTTTTTTTAAATTTCAATTTTTCGTTAACTTATAATGAAAATAAAAAAAAAGGTTAAATTCAATTAAATTAATTATAGAAATTTATTGTAAAAATAAACCTTGACTTAGTTTTCTTGGAGAAAAAAAAACTAATTATTTCGCCTGTTTGAAATGTGTGCATAAACGAGTTTTTGAGCATGTTTTTTTTCCAGCATCTTAAGAGCTGTTAAAGCTTTCGTGCATATCGACCAGGATTGTATGAGAAGCAAATATTTGTCATTACGTGACTCGATGAAACACGCGGATAATTCAGAACGGTATTTCACGACGTGAGAGGACCTCACCGCCTATAGACAACGTCGAAGTATAATAATGAGATTCGCTTTTCTACATCGACCTCGTCGACGAGGCCGTGTCAGGAACTCCACTTTAAAGAATGTCTTCGATTATAGTTACAAACAGTATACACTGGAGTCGACAATTAAGGTCAGATAAAGCTTTTAACCATAGAACATTAACTTGTTGCTCATCTCCATTTTAATTAAATTTTAATATTCCCCCATAAAATTCTGAGACATATGGCACTTTTATTTTTTATTCATATATAAACGATTCTTATCGTTTTACTTTCATTTCATCGATAATAATATTTTTGCTCTTCTTTTATTTCTATTCCGTGAGCAATTTTATCTTTTTATTTATATACTAGCAACAAATACGCACGCGAGAAACGTTGCATGCTCAATTATTATTTTATTTATATAATAAATCTATAATAATCTACAAGATATTAAAAATTATTATTTATGACTTTTATTTACAATTTTATTCATATTTTTTATGTTAATTTTAATATAAAAAAAAATTTACTTTTTAATTAATTAAAATATATAATTATCAATTTTTAAAGAATATTTTGTGGCAAAAAATATGAATAATAATAATATAAATAAAATTTATAATACAATAAAATATTGAAATAAAAAGATAATTTTTTTTCACTTTATAGGCTCTTTTACGAAAGAAAGTTTTTTTTTCTTGTTATTTTTAATTTTATGAGCAATTTTTTTTTTACATTTTTAAATTCATGAACAATTTTTTTTTTATTTTGTATAAATTATATTTTTTCATTTTAATACTTCATGAGCAATTTTCTACCTTATTATTTTTTAAAATAAAGAAAAAATTTTCTTTTTATTTTAAATTTATAAGAAATTTTTTTTCCTCCTATTTTTATTATTATTTAATGAAAAATTTATTTTAAATTTAATTTATTTTTTTTGCTCGATTAAATTATTGGGAAATAAATATTGTTGAAAAATAATTGACAAGATAATTAATAAAATTAGAAGGAGAAAAATAAAAAAAATTGTTCAGATGATTTTTAAAAAAAAGGAAAAATTCAAGCGTAAAGTTCTAATTTGTTAATTAACTTGAAGAGTGTAATATTGTCTTATTTATTTTTTAATGTACAAGGCGTGATGTTTATTTTCCGATAAATTGAGTTTTAATGAGATTTTCATTTCCAATTTCTGGCGGCGCAATGTTGAGCGAGAGAGAGAGAGAGAGATAGATAGAGAGAAAATTTCCAATCGAGGTTGCGACTGATCAATATAACGAAATAATACTCAAGTTACGATGAAACTAGAATTCAGTTAGAGCAGATAATCTCAGAGCTCGGTCAAGCATAGTCTGTTGTTCCCTTCTGCACTGGGTGGGTTTTTTTTCCTTTTTTTTTTTTTTATTTTTATTTCAAGTATAAAATCGATCGGATGGTATCGCCTACTATAAAGACTATGATTCATCGGTAAAACCTATGGTGTAAAAGTCAAGTGTCCGTGAATCATTTTTTTTTTTTTTTTTTTTTTTTTTCTAATCAAGATTTGAATCTCAAAGACCCCTGCGTATTTTGTAAAAAGAAAATTTTATGTAACCGTACGAAAAAAATTTTATGTTTATTAGAAATTGCAAAAAAAAAAAAAAAAAATTCAAAGCGGTATCAAATTATTTTTTTTTTGTATTTATTATTTATTTCTATCTATAGATAAAATTAATTTTTAATTAAATAATGAATTAAAAATAAATTAATTTTAGATATTATTTAAATAAATTTAGAGATTTTTATATTTTAATTATTGATAATGATTTTTATAGAAGAAGAATATTATCAAATTCTAAATGACGGGGGTTTTAATTAAATTTTTCGTATTACAAAATTACTTTTAAAATGTCAATTTCTTTAGAATTTTTATTTATTACTTTTTTTTATTATTTTATCGTTACGTTTTATTTTTTTTTTTTATTATTAATATTTTTATCTCCTTTATAAATATTTTTCTCCTTTTTTTTGTAATTTGCTTTTGTTATTATTTTTTTAAATCCTTTTTTTAAAAAAAAAAATATGAATTATTTTTATCTCTACTTTTGTTTCCATTCAGAATATAATATTTATTACAGAGTTAAAATTTTAAAAATTAATTTTTTTGTTTGGAAAACAGCAAATGTTGTATAATTTAAAAATTTCGCAAAAAATTTTTTAAATATTAAATAAAAAAATAAATATTATTTAATTTAATTTCGATAATTTCAATTAGAATTATTATTATCTTTTTATAAATTTGTAAATAAAATCTTTTTTGAAATTCATTATAAAATAATTTTTTTATGAGGGGGGTTTTTTTTTTCTATTGAAAGTTCGTTTTAATATGAATAGGGGGAAAAAAAAGGATTGACGCGAGATAACCTGGTGGTTCAATTATCGTTGAGTGCCGAAATTACATTTGAATTGCGATTAATGGGCACCCGGTACATGCGACGCATTTTGGGGGAGAAGGAAGTTTCAGTTCGGAGGGTTCTCTCGCAAATCCTGGGGTGGTATTTAGGGGTTGGTTTCTATGCCTGGCGAGATGAACAAAGAAAATTCGGAAGAGGGCGATAAATCAGCTACTCGAATTCAAGGTCTAGCAAGTTCAAGGGCCAATGACCTTGGAAGGCATCGCATCTGTACATTTTATAAAAGGGGACGATTTGCAATTTTAGAAAGAGAATTACATTTTATAATACAGAATTTGAAAATCGAAAAAAAAATCTAATAAACTTAATTTTCCAATTTCGGAAAAATAATTTTCAAATGGAGCCAATTTTTTTTTTTTATTATAGTGATGGAATGAGTTTTTATTTATTCAATTATTGAAATAGGAGAAAAATTGAAAAAAATAAAGAGGAGAAAAAAAACAAATAAAATTGCCTTTGGCTTTTGATTAAAAAAAAAGAAAAAAAAAAAAGAAAAGAACACACCGGAACCTCTTTCATCTGGCGTGAAAAATGAGTCACTTTAAATTCCACCCTTCGACTTCGCTGTAATAAAAACGATTTTAAGTTGCAGTCAAGTCTCTGATAAGGATTTAATAAACAGTGAATGTAGTGAATTAAATTTCTTTAGTTTACAGATAGTAAACAAGTAAAAAGTCAATTTGATTTTTAAAGAAAATTTTTTTTCTGATTTTCTTATTTTACTTATGTGAAAATAATAAATTTTTTTTATACAAAATAAAAATTATTTTACAAATAATTTGTAGAATATCTTTTATAAACGCAGGAATTAGGTTTTTTATTTTTATTTATCTCTTATTGATTTAAAAAAAAGGCGCTCTTATTAGAATAATTTAAAAAAAAAGCATTTAAAGAGCGCCTTTTTCCACCAATGAGAAAATTGTTGTAGCGCAAGCGCAGTAGTTATATTCGTTAACGGTTGTTGGTAGCTTTGAATTTGTATTGCAAATGTACATCGTGATATTGAATCAATTTGTAAATAATAACAAACAAAACAAAAAAAGTAAAAAGGAAGTAAGGAGACAAGAAATTCAGAAAATATAATCAAGATTAGAATTAGCCTGATTAATCATATATATAGGCAGAATAAAAGAAAATGAATGTATACATTGTGGCAGCATCGAAATATTTAATAATTGTAATTATATAAAGAAAATCTCATCTTATCAAGGTAAGGTAGAAAATAAATAAAATTCTAAAATATTAAAATTGTTTTTAAATAAGATACGTGTATTTTTTAAAAAGCATGCGCGTATTAAGAAATATTATTCATGTGACATAACCTCACTATTTATATAACAAGATAAATATAATTTGTTTCAAATAAGCATAGCATTGGTATATTAATCAAAAGACTGTTATTACGATGGTAATTAAAATATTAAAATAACTATTATAATTAAAATATTCATGTAAATTTTATATTGATTAATTGATTTTTAATCCGATCCTAATAAAAATCTAAATCTAATAGTAATAATTATTATCGTTAAAGTGTTTAGAACTGTCTTGAAAGTTTTTTCATCTATTTTTATTATTAGGTATTATTATTAATATTATTAATTATTATTATTATTATTAATATTATTAATTATTATTTTTATTATTATTGTTATTATTATTATTATTTAAGTGGTATAAAAATTGAATTTCTGTCGTGTATTAAAATTTATAACCAAATTTGTCACAGATGAAACAAGGACCACATATATACATTGTATATCACCTGGTTGGCTGGGGTCTCAAGGGTTAAGGTCGCGAATTTTGAGATGGTGGTTTGGCATCTATGTACATACTGGGATTTGGAGGAAAGTTTCGAAACCTCTGATATTGCAACCCGCGCCAACGGTTGACTATAGAAGGTGAGTCGGAGGCCGTCGACGGGTTACTCACCGCGGGCGACGCTCCATCGATCGCCGTTTGAGTCGCGTTGGTTAGGGGTTTGGTGGGGTTGCTGTTCCTGGCGGGAGGAACTCGATTCGCTCTCATCCCCCTCCTTGGACTCGAGTATTTTATGGGAAGGAGTAGAGAGCGAGAAAAACCGAGACAAAGACAGTTATGGCAATTCGAAGGGTTTATCATTTTTGTCTGTTCAAAAAAAAAGAAAAAAGAAAGTAAAAACTAAAGTAGAAGAAAATTTTTATTGTGTTAATAGACTGTTTTGGTTCTCTTTTGACCTTGGAAAGTTTTTTTTTTGCTTTCGGATAAAATTGTAATTAAAAATTTGTTATTTTTGAATTTTAGGGAAATTTTTCTTTTTTTTTATTTAAAGAAATATGAAACGAAAATTCTTTTTTTTAAATCAAAGAAATTTTTTTTTTTTTGACGCATATCAATACAATTTCTTTGATGTCAAGACATTCTTTGATTCAAAGAAACTGTTCTTTTTATAACTTTTTTTTCATATACTGACACAAGTAACTTGAAAGGGACATTTTTCTTCCGTTTCAAAGTTTTTAAATGGGAATTCGAAATTGCTGCGTAGTTTCTCCATTAATGGGAATTTTAATTAAATAATTATGGTGAATAATAATAATATTAGGTATTTTTAAATTAGAATTATTGATATTTTTAATTTTTATTATAAATTCTAAATTACAAATTATAATTTAACTTGAAAAAAGAAATTAAGTTCCATATATATATATATTTTTTTTCGTGGAGAATAATAAAATTGGTTTTAAAAGAAAACTTTTCTTTTGTAAAAGTTTATTGCGAAATTCTCTTTTTGGGAAGAAAATGTGGGAATAAAAGGGATCAAACTTTACTTTTGTTTGTTAATGTATTTTCTTTTCGCTAAAATTTATTTCGTTCTAAATTTCTATTTAATTTATTTATTGCTTTTAAATATTTTAAAGTATTTATAGTAAAAATATTTATAAATTTCATATCTATTTTTTTCTAATAAAAAAAAAATATGGAGGAATAGAAGTAATTTTTTTTTTTTTGATTTTTGTTTTATAAATATATGATACACGTACCTTAGGGAAAGTGTGTGTGTGTGTTGAGTCACGCACGAACCGACGCCATTTTCTCATGTTCGACCTCAGTGAGCTTGAGCTTTTACTTAAAAGCTATATATATATATTGCTCAGTTGAGCTTTCATGTTTCATAAACAAATGAAGCTTTAATATTTATTCATCATTGTCAATGATGAACAGAGTAAATATTTAAATAATCTGTTGATTAAAATTTATTTCCTAATTTTATTCATATATATTGTATAAATTAAAAATATTTTTTAAAATAATTTTCTTATTATTTAATTTCTTTTTTGTTAAATTATATATGAATTTTTATCTTTCTTTTTTGTTTATACAATTTGGTATTAAAATTTTTTAATAACAATAATTAAAATTATTAGAATAAAAATTAAAAAAAAAAATTGTAAATTAAAATCATTTTTTTTTTTAAATAATTATTGTATGGAAACTTTTATATATATTTCTTCTGGAGATATTGAATAGACGCATCAGCCAGGAGCCTTGAAACGTGACCAACAACTTAAGAGTTTCAGTAGTAAATGTCAGTATTAAATCAGACAGGGAGAATAAATGTGTTCCTTAAGAATTGGTCTTATTTGCTCTGGAATTTTTCGTTTTTCAACTTTATTCCCTCACTTTTATATCATGTTTAATCGCGCAAAATAAGCGAAAAAAAGGGGTATGAAAATTAAACACCATTGCAAAAAAAAAAAAAAAATGAATCTAAAAATATAAAAAAAAAACAATATTCTTTAGATTAAATAAATTTTAATAATTATTTTTCAATATTGTATAATATTAATAAAAATATTAATAATAATAATAATTAATATTAATAAAAATATTAATAAATGAATAACTGAAAAAAATGCAACAAGGGTTATTTCATTTTAAATTTTCTACCAATCAAGTGAAGACAAAATATCATCAATAGAGAGAGAGGGTAATTACGCAGTTATTTTCTCTTCATGTGATTGGTGGAAAATTCAAAATTATCTCAGCGCGGCTAATTTTAATACTATCACGTGATTATATATACAAATTAATTGCATTAATTTTTCAGGAGTGAGATGGCGTTGGTAGACATTTTCGAAAAGTATCTTCTCGCGTTGAGTTTGACCACGTGTTTTTAAAATAATTTAATTTCTAAATTTTTATCATGCGGACAAATTTGAAAATCACCGTTCGAGTGCAGCTTCGGAATAGAGATCGTGTATATAGGCGAAGGGTAAGATTTTTTATTTTTATAATTAATAATAAAAAATATATGAATTTTTTTTGTGCAATTTTAAAATTATTTATCTAAATTGTTAATAATTTTTTTCATTAATTGCTAATTAATAAAAAAAAATTAAATTAATCAATGATATATATAAAAATATCGAATAAAATTTTTTTTTATTTTTAAAAATTAATTTTGAAATATATTTTTCGGAAGGAAATAATAATTCTTTTTTTTCTGAATAAAGTTGTTTGATTCTCATCTAAGATTATTATGATCGATATAATATATTTGGTTGTTTGATTTACGGGGTTTCATGACCTCCTTTATCGGCAAGGGGATGATTAATCAAAAATTTCTTTTTTTGGAGCAATGCCCTCTAAAATGTCGAAGGTCATTTACCTGAAGTTTATTGCAATAAAATTGAAACCATCACATTAGAATTACCTATATATAACAAAAACTAATGAGCAAGAAAAGCAGGTTTCTAATATATAAATCTCACTATTAATTCGTATCTTGAATATAAATTCAATTTAAATCATAAATTTCAAATAATTTATTTTTAAAAATTTTTTTCGAAAGTGCAAGTTTTTTTAAAACAATTTTTTTTATTATTATTCAATTTATTTATTTTTTTCAAATTATTTATTGTAATTAAAAAATAGTATTTTCACATTTTTTTTTATTTATTTATTTTTATTTGAAATTATTCTAAAATAATTTTATAAAAACGAAACTTATACAATTTTTTTTTTATTAAAAAGAAAAGAAAAATGTTTTTTAGGAAAAATTTTAGGATTTGGAGGGGGAAAAAATTGATAAATTATCGAAACATGTATTGAAGCAAACAAAATACTTTATTGTTATTAGATATTATAGTACAATACGTGTAGCCCGTGACACATTAAAACAGACCATTTAGTTATATATCCTAAATAAATAGCCTTCTTATTCCATATATAATAATATATAACCAACCTTGATATGACAATCTCACAAAAAATCATTTTTTTTTCTCATTCTCTCTTGCTCTCTGTTTCATTTAATACACATATCAATTTTTTTTTTTCACAACAATACGTTTTCACGTATATCTTTTTCACAAAAAAAAAAAAAAAAAAAATTTATCTCGCGAACCACAAAAAAAGATTTTAACATCTTTTAATTTTTTTCGCACGTTTAACAGGGGTGGGGGGAGGGGGAGAACGAACTTGAAAATTACAATTTTTCTCATTTCTTGTCTTATATTTATGTACGGCAATAAGGACCGTCGTTGTAAAATTCCCAATAAATTTTTTTTTTTTCAGAAAAAACAAATAAGAATTTTGGGAATTTTTCAACAGTAATTATTATACTAGACAACGCGTTGTTTTCCATAGAAAAAATATTTATTTTGGTATTTTTTTTTCTGCAGAACCATTCATTTTTTTTTTTTTTTTGCGATTTTTTTTTCTCGCGTAGGGAAACAGGGAGATAAAAATGGGAAAGAGAGAGAGAAAAAAAAGAGAGAGAGAGAAAGGGCAAAGAAGTAGTCTCGAGGTATAATCAACCCCCCTATATCTCTCTCTCTCTCTCTCTCTCGAGAAGTAGAATCTCAGAAAAACGTTTGATTGTTACTCCCTCGACTGCAAAGTCGTATAACGGTTTGTGAGAAAAAAAAAAAAAAAATGGCAAAAGGGTGGGGGAGGAAAAAAAAATAAAATTTTTTTTTCCTGAGATGCTCGCTACATATATATAGTGGCCTTTTTTTCTTCTTTATTATCTCCTTCAAACAATTACTCTTACACTATTTCTGAGATTTTATTCTCTTTTTTCTTCTTATTATTATATTCTCTTTTTTCAAGCAAGTTGTAAGATTGGATTTTTTTTTTTCGAGAAAAATTCCTTTATTTCTGCTGATAAAACTTTTTTTTCTCTTTTGTAAAAAGAATTTTAATTTCTTTTTTCAGAGAAAATTATTATTTTTTGACGAAACAAATTACTTGAGTGAAATTTTTCCTGTAAACTTTCTTTAGATTTTTTTTTTTTCATTATAAAATCTTTGTTTAATCGCAAAAAAAAATAAGATTCTTTGAAAAAGTTATTTTTTTTGTATAATTTTGTTGTAGAGAAAATTTATCCGAATTTTTATATCAATAAATTGAAAAATTCATTTCGATATGTGGAGAATATTTTTTTGATATAAAATTGTAAATAAATTGAAACAAGATGATTTTTTTCAATTCGAGAAAATTAATTTTAATATCGATATTAAGAAATAATTTATAAAATAAATAATTTTAAAAATTACATTAATATAGAAGACTCATTTATTTTAGTAGCGAATTTTTTTGTTTAAAGATTATTTTTTGAAAATAAAAATTAAAGAAAAGTTTGGAGAATTTTTCTAAAATTTATTCAATATAATTTAATATTTGTAAATTAAATTTTTTTTTAATTATTTAAATAATTTGTTTAATTTCTTTTTACAAAGATTTTTTTTACAAAAATAAAAGGAAAGTTGTAGAATTTGTTAATTAATCGCACTAATAATTATTAATGATATATTATATATTATATAATATGTTTAATTTATAAATTATAAATTATAATTTATAAATTAAATAAATTAAATAAATAATTAATATTTACAAATTGAAAATTTTTGAAATAATTTAATTTGTAAAAAAATGTTTATAAATAAAAGAAAAAAAAGTTGCAGAAATTAGGGAACACTCGAAAACGTTAAGATTATTTTTTTTTCTCTCTCTTTCTCTCTTTTTCTTTTTCTCTCTTACACTATCGTACTGCTTCTCTCACTCTCATTCGCTCGCATGAGATATCCATTATCCTGATTGATAACTCCTCGACGGTTTAAAAATGGCACAACCTACATATATATTTTATATGTATATATATATATATATGTACGTACATTATGTTTATAGCTACAAATATAGTCACAGGCCAACATTTCGTAGTACAACACAGCACAATCATTGTCGTATCATTATTATTAGTTTTTATTCATTTTTTTTTTTATATCCGATAGGTGTCACATTATAATTACGGTATCAAGTTTAAATAATATAATCGTAATAATATATAATATATATAATATATTAAAATTGACCAGATATATTCTATTGACTAGGCACACTTCATAACAAGAAAAAAATTGTCTCTCTCTTATACATCGACCCTTTTTTTTTTTTTTAAATATATGCGATTCAATTCAATGTTTTACAATAATAATTATTCAAGTATTATCGTAAAGTTAAATGTTAAATGTTTAGCATGTATTTTTTTTTTTTTAATTACGTCGTAATAATCAATCGATTTTCTTTTATCGAATAATCGTAATTAATTATTATTATTATTACCCTTACAAGTAAAACCATTATTTTTTTTTACCATTTTCCTCCATTCTTTTTTCACTCGCCTAAAAATTCCTTTCATTGTTTCGCAAAAACATTTATATTTTATTTTTTATAGTCAATATATAGTAAATATTCGACCCTTATCGTATTATGGAAAAATAGAAACTTCTGACAATAAAAAACCAAACAAACGTGATTCGACGATTGGAAATTGAGAAAAATTGTTTCTTAATTTTAATTGAGAATTTTCAATTAAAATTAAGATATATATATTTTTTTTTAATCCTTGGTGTCTCGATATGAAAAGGAAATAATTTTTTTTTTTTGGGGGGAAATGTTTTCTCAATCGCCAACGTCTGTTTAACCGTTTTACAGTATTATTAGTATTTTAATTTTTGTAATTTTTTTTTTTTTATTCGTCTTTTTTTTAGACCGCAACGCGAAAAATTTGATTTCTCAAAATGATCATCGTAACTTACTTACTTCCATTTTTTTGATGATGATAATAAGTATATGGTATTCGTATATTGTAATCTAAACTCTTATATACGGGTATATATTATAAGGAAAATTGTATATATATATATATAATTTATTTATATATATATATATATTGTTATTATTATATATACAAATAAATAATATTAATCATATTTAATTATAATATTAATTATATAATATAATTTATAATTAATATTATAATTAATATAATACGAATAATAATAATAATTATATATGTGTGCGTGTCCGCATGTTTAGTTTCACAGTTTCGCTCATTTATTAGTCACAACACTGACGTGGAATGTCTAGATAGAGACGCGATTTTCTGCACTCGCATATAATGGGGATCTAATCGATTTGACAAAACGAACGTATATATAATATATATAATATTAGAAGGTCATTTTACTGGTTTTCCCCCCCCTCCAGTAATAACAATTTGCAGAAATTTTTTTTTATTTTAATTTCCTTTTCCAGTGTGATACAAAAAAAAAATAAAAAATAATGACCGTTACCAAATGTAAGTGCGCATGTGCTACAATTCTCTAATTGGTGGAGAAAAGGTATTTTAAATAAGAGCGCCCTTTTTCAACCAATGAGAGAGTTGTAGCACATGCGCACTTTCATTTGGTAACTGGCGTGATATAATAAACTTTTTTTTTTTTTTGATATAAAAAAGAAACAAAATTAACTATTTGGGGAAAAAAATATAATATTTAGTTTTGAATAAAAAGTTCGATACTTGTTTTTTAAAAAATTGTAAAAAAAAATTCTTTCGAGAAAATTTTTCAATGGACAATTTTTAATTTTTTAAAATTATACAAGATATTGCTACAGTCACTGTCAAAAGTTAAAAAAAAGTTAATAAAGAATTGATTAATAAAATTGTAAATAATTAGGAAAATTTCAAAATGTTTTCTTTTTTTTAACAAAAAGTTGTTTTTTCCGAACGAAACAAATATTCAAAATTATTTTTTTAAACTTTTATATTATAATAATTTATTTATTTTATAAATTTAGAAAAGAAAAGAAATTTTTAAAAAATTTATTTTATTTATAAATTTAGAAAAGAAAAGAAATTTTTAAAAAATTTATTTTATTTATAAATTTAGAAAAGAAAAGAAATTTTTAAAAAATTTATTT